ATAGCATTTTGTTTATCACCGCTCTGCCAGTGAGAGATTGAGCTCAAGTGCATCAAATGAAAAGCAAATGAGGTGTCTTGAAGGGGGCAGGGCATGTTGCATACTAGAGAGCATTTGATTGGTTATGATTTGAGGAGAAACTGTAGCTCCAAATGACGTGAAGAAAAATCGTTACTCCATATAGACGGAAGTGTTAAACTGCAAGCTTTGCATGCTCATATCAGTTTTGTATCATTTAAACCTGAATTTTGTCTCTGTTTTGAAGTGCACTACCTTTCAGACACCTTAAAAACTAACAATACTTATATTAACAAAAAAGAAAACGATTTTAATTTCATGGGATTGTTAAATGCTATTAGTTATAAAGTTGTGTTTACTATTAAAACAGCTTTAAAAGTGGCTCATCCAATTAGATTTTAGGAGCCACAACCCTGCAAAGTTTTTCCTAAAACCTGGATTATTGTTTGTAGATGTTTGCTGGAGTCAAACTGTCTGAATCTCGTTTCCCCCTCGGTGTTTGCTCTGTCTGCGGGACGGTCTCGTGAGCTAACAAAACGTCCACCTCTGCCCTGTGCAGACTAGACCAGTTCATCTTCCCCAATGGCCACATCTTTCTTTTTCTCAGACGGTCACCTCCCCCAGTCGATGCCTCCACCCGTCTGTGGGCTTTAAACCGCCTTCCCCTTCACCTCTCCGTCTGGTCCACTCCTTTTTGTCTGTCCTCCTCTTTAATGTGCGTTGATAAGGTGACTGCTGACCCATTGCTAGGCACTCTATGAGAGGCCCTGTTTCAAGATGGCGACCCTCCTCACCCTCTCAGACACTTTCAATATGCGCAGGGGGGCAGGGTGTCCAGTGCTGGGATTGAACACACTGGAAATTAAACACATTTACTTGCACTGGCAAAAATATTACCAGCTGCTTTGTTGTAGCCAAGCATGATTTTCTCACCTCATCCCTGGAGTATCCATATGGCATTTGGAGCTTTTCATTACATTGACTTGAATATGGGAATAATCATGTCTAGATTAAACTAGGGTCAGGTGTGAGGGGCACAGATGCTTGAGTGAAGTGTAATTATTTGCTGGTGAATTATGCGTAGTGCGTGGTAAACCTTGAATGTGTTTTTATGGTGTCAAACGATCTGATGTTGGCCCTTTAAGTACACACTTCATGTCTTTGGTTTCATGTGTGTATTTAGTTAAATGGACCGAGGGCATATGTAGTGACTTGCATGTGTTGGTCTTAGGTTCAGGCGTGACAAGATATGATTGAATGGGCATTAGGGGCGAGGCAGTGGCACAGTAGGTTGTGCTGTCGCCTCACAGCAAGAAGGTCGCTGGGTTACTGGTTCGAACCTCGGCTCAGTTGGCATTTCTGTGTGGAGTTTGCATGTTCTCCCTGCCTTCACGTGGGTTTCCTCTGGGTGCTCCGGTTTCCTCCACAGTCCAAAGACATGCAGTACAGGTGAGTTGGGTAGTCTAAATTGTCCGTAGTGAGTGTGTGTGTGGATATTTCCCAGAGATGGGTTGCAGCTGGAAGGGCATGCGCTGCGTAAAAACTTGCTGGATGAGTTGGCGGTTCATTCCGCTGTGGCGACCCCGGATTAATAAAGGGACTAAGCCAACAAGAAAATGAATGAATGAATGAATGAATGAATGGGCATTATCAGTGGTTATCAGCTGATAGATATGGGCCAGTAGGGGCCTTCTTTCCCTAATGGTAGGCTCAGAAGACTTATCATCCATTCACATGGTTAATCAGCTATAAATCGCATATGGCTTCAGACAGAAGTTAACAAGATTTATTTATATTATTTATTAAATTCTCCATGAATTAGTAGTGGATGATAACTACCAGTAGGCGCAGAAGGCCCCTGCTGGCCCATATCTATCAGCTGATAACCACTGATAACGGCCATTCAATCGAGTAATAAGATCAAATTTCTATGTATTTTTATATGTAGCTGAAAAAAATTGCCTGATCAGTCAGGAGACGAAACATAACTATTTTACATATTGTCAGAAAAGTAAAATAATAATGTAAACATACTTTTAAAAAGGTGCATCTTCAAACCTCACCCATACACCCTATTCTTTAATGGAGGAGGAGCAGCTTGTACTTAAAGGTACGAATGAGATCGTACAAATGAATACGAATTTTGCCGCAGTCACACTAGAGTTTGAACAAGGGAAATCCTGCTGTACTACGCTATGAAAAGGATTAAACAAGATGATTAGACATTTAAAAAAGTGAGCGATTGGTCCATATTTTACATTTCTGTACAACGAGGTCATGTTTTGAATTTTGCAATTCAGCGAACTGCGAAACATTTTGTTTTTGGTCTGACGAATTTGTGTGCATATGAATTTTAGTCTATGGGGGAAAAATCCAGTATGACTGCGGTAATTTCCATTAAATCAAAACTTTACAAAACTTGTCATTCGAGTTTTCATTTCCGGTCTGATGCATTTACCTGCGTATGAATGGAAGTCTATGGGGCGAAAACTCCAATGTGACCACGGCTTTAGCCACTAAATCAAAACAATACGAACTTGTCATACAAGTTTTCATTTCCGGTCTGTTGCATTTGCATGCATATGAAAGGAAGTTTATGGGGCGAAAGGTCCAGTGTGACCACGGCTTTAACCACTAAATCAAAACGTTACGATTTGCAGCTGCAAATGAGCTTGATATGAAACTATATATTGGTATAATAATGACTTGCTGCTGTGGCAGTTTTGTTCAAAAACAGATGGATTTTATAAGCCATTTAAACAACATTATCATCCAAACTTGTAATATTTCTATACAAAAAACTCTTTTTGCCTGTTTGTTTACACACCCATGCGATATTGGGACTGGAAATGCATACATTCGGAAAACGCCACTGGTTTCGTGTCCTGAAAACGAGTCATTGAAAATGATCATGTCATCCACATTCATGAAATGTATTTAGAGAAGTGTAGATTTAAAGCAAGTGCGAAAAAAACGCAACAATGGCAGAGTATGTTGTCATGTTGTTGCTAAAGCTTTATTCGCAAAGTGATAAAGATTTACTTAATATTACAACCAACAGCAGATACACATCATACACACATAGCAAATTCTGGAGTACATACACACCAGTGTCGTGCCACTGACTTGACTACACCATTGTTGTGTAAACATAGCCTAGTCAATGTCACATGTACCTCAGTAGTAAAAAGGTTAAAGATGGAATTGTTCACACTTAAGACTTGTTGAGTAATAAAACATGTCCTAAATACTTTATCCTTAAAAATTGGTATTGGTCAAATAGCTTTTTTGTCCAGAAAGTGACGAAAAAGTGGAACTGTATCAAGGCTTGTTGTTTAGTATGAATGGAATTATTCAATCCTACATCAAACCAATTGAAATGCCCATAAATGTTTGGTTTGCCCTCATAGATATTTTGATGGTGTTCCAATCAGACACACAATGATGCTTTTCTGTCCTCTTCTCACGATCTGGATGGACATATGCCCGCAAATTGCTCTCCAATATAACTCCCCCCTCCCCCACTTTTTAGCATATCGCTAAAGAAAATGTGATTGTCGGCTATGTGCTGAAAGAAACAAGGTTGAAAGTAATCAATAAGTCGTCCTCTCAGACAAGGCCACCGAGTAATAGCTGCTGTTGGTGAGGTGGGTGTTTTAAATGTCAGCGACGCAGGATGATTATACGTCTATAGAGAACACTTCCCTTATTTTAGGCTGTTTTCACACTTGGTTTGATTGCTTGATTCAAACTTGAGTATAATTTCTACCACCTTCATGCCCTGTATTTCTTTTTCACAGTGTATTTTGGAGCACCAATGGATTTTCAAAAATGTATCTTAATTTTACTATTTTTTTGTGTTATCTGCTGCTAATGTAGTTGCACTTTACATCAACAAAACCAAAAAAACTGAAAAATAATAATATGTGAGGTTGGATCCTCACCAAAATTTCCAAAAGATAGGAAATGTTTGTGGTGTCTGTGTTTGCTTGTGTATACAGTACACTTTTCGAAGCCATTAAACAGCTAGAATTAACATATTAGCTTATTTCATTTCTGAAATTGAAATGCAATGATAAATATTATTTTTACATTTGTTTTTTATTGTGTCTTATAGAAACATGCATTTTAAAATCCTCGAATATAAGCACAGGCCTCTTTGTATGACTCATAATGGTATATGATTTTATTGGAATAAGCATGAGAACAGGCAGGCAAAGAGAGTGGCCTTTTTATGACGGAAAATCTCCTGAGGAGGTCAAACCCTACACAGGTGGCAGCAATTAACTGTAATTTTTGCAGATTGTAATGATCCATAATTTACCAGCCTCCCCCCTGCATCTCTTATGCAGTAAAAAAAAGTGTTTTGATTGGGTACAGGTTTTTTGTTCGCTCTGGCCTTTGTGTCAGATATCTCAGAGACAGGCGAGGCTGTTGACATATGAAGTGATGCTCATGCAGAAACTGAACAACCTTACTTGCATTTTCAGCAGGTTGAATTTAGCATTTGCATTTGTGATTTAGCATGCCATGCCAAGATATCAAAGCAAGAACATAACTGTATGAAAAATAACTTCAATAACTTATAAGCACATTGATTTATTATTAACTGTTAAAGAGCAATAGCTCAACCAAAACTGAAATGCATGTTATCATTTACTCACCCTTCACTTGTTGTAAACCGGTCTGAGTTTCTTTTTATTCCTGTAGAACACAAAATAATTCATTTAGAAAAATGTTGGAAGCATCTAATCTTCGACTTCCATAGAAATTTCACTTTTGGGTGAACTATGATTTAAAGTTAGTAGAGGTACAGCTCAAAGTTTGAGTGTGGTTTTAGCAGCATGAGAAATAATATAGAGGCAAGGACAGAACAAGCACCTAAACAAGTTATTTTCCTGCAATAAATTTGCTGAAAAATTTGTCTGACTTGCTAGTTCCTAAATAGACAACTGACCTTCTCCTTTTGTTTTGTTTTGCAGAAAAAGATGAGCCCAGCAGCTACACTTGCACAACCTGTAAGCAGCCCTTCAGCACTGCTTGGTTCCTGCTACAGCATGCCCAGAATACTCATGGTTTCCGAATATACCTGGAAAGCGAACCTGGAAGCCCATTAACTCCCCGTGTGGCCTCTGCTCCAGGCATGGGTGGTGACTGTGCCTCTCAGCCACCTATACATGCAGCCCATCTAGGAGACAGTAGTCCTTATAGCCTGATGAGGATAGCCAACAGAGATGGCTCCTCTGTTCCTAGAGAAGGTCGATATCCCAGGACGCCTCCACTCTTTAGTCCCCCACCTCGGCATCATATGAGCCCAGACGATCTGGCTTTGGCCCCCCACCACCCAAGCGCCTTTGACAGGGTACTGCGTCTTAATTCGGTACCCTTGGACTCCCCATCTATGGACTTCTCGAGACGACTACGGGAACTGGCAGGCAACTCTGCTGGCTCTTCTCCACCCATGTCGCCCAACAGGCCCAGCCCTATGCAAAGGCTGCTGCAGCCATTCCAGCCAGGGGCATCTCATTCTCCTTCTGGTCCCCGTTCAACACCTACACAGCAAACACCCACCCTGCCAACTGCAAAAGCAAAATCCTGCGAGTTCTGTGGGAAGTCCTTTAAGTTCCAGAGCAACTTAATTGTCCATAGGCGTAGTCATACCGGAGAGAAACCTTACAAGTGCCACCTTTGCAACCATGCCTGCACGCAGGCCAGCAAGTTGAAGCGCCACATGAAGACCCATCGGCACAAATCCTCCTCCACTACCTCCAAATCAGACGATGGCCTTTCAACTGCGAGTTCACCTGAGCCAGGAACGAGTGATTTGCCAAGCAGTGCCACCAATGCTCTTAAATCAGTGGTTGCAAAGTTTAAAATCGAGAACAATGGCATGATCCCTGAAAATGGACAAGAGGAAGATGAAGAAGAGGAAGAAGAGGAGGAGGATGAAGAGGAGGAAGAGGAGGAGGAAGATGAAGAAGAAGAAGAGGAGGAGGAGGAGAATGAAAGTGAGGCTGGTGAAAGGAATGATATAAACTTTAGCTTGAGCCTAGAAGGTGCACGTCATCACGAGAACAATAGACAACGACACAACAAAAATGTGGAGGGAATTCAGGACTACCGAGAAGCGCTCAAACATTACAAACGAGGCGACCACCACAGATCAGCTCACGAGACATTTGGTGACAGTTCCCCAAAAGAGTCTTCTCAAGTCAACGAAGGGTACGGACACATCGTTAATGGGTCGGCGTCCTACTCAAATGATGACCTCTCAAGAAAACTTCTCGCTGGAAGTCCAGGTTCTGACAGTCCTCTAACTAAGCGAATCAAGGTGGAAAAAGACCTTGATCTTCCAACTCCTACAATTCCCAATTCAGAAAATGTGTACTCACAATGGCTGGCTGGATATGCCGCTTCGCGCCAGCTCAAGGATCCTATCCTCAACTTTGGGGACTCAAGACAATCACCTTTCGCCACCTCTTCAGAGCACTCCTCGGAGAATGGAAGTCTCAGGTTCTCCACTCCTCCTGGGGAGCTGGATGGAGGCACAGCCTCTGGGCGTAGCGGCACGGGAAGCAGAGCCAGTACACCCCACCTTCCCAGTGGTCGCCCCAGCTCCAAGGATGGCCGCCGTAGTGACACATGTGAGTTTTGTGGCAAGGTCTTCAAAAACTGCAGCAACTTGACAGTGCATCGCCGCAGCCATACTGGCGAAAGGCCGTATAAATGTGAGCTTTGTAGCTACGCCTGTGCTCAAAGCAGTAAGCTAACACGGCACATGAAGACGCATGGACAGACAGGCAAGGACGTTTACAAATGTGAGATATGCCACATGCCTTTCAGCGTCTACAGCACTCTGGAGAAGCACATGAAAAAATGGCACAACGATCGGCCATTGAGCATCGAAATTAAATCGGAGTAAATTTGATGATGTCTTACGCAGAACACAATATTTAAAGCACAGCGTCAGATGAGGATACTAGCCGAAAATTTGTCGAAATTTACGCAAGACTCTGAGCCCTTTCGAATGTGCAATAACTTAATGTTTTGTACTCCTTTTCTTACTGGTTGGCATGTGTTAGCTTGATTGATTAGCGGTATTGCTGTTGTTACTGTCTTTTATCGAACAGAACATTTCATGCTGCAAGCGGTTAATTTTTACATATCATACCTAGTCGTATTGTATCATTTAAGCCTGTAATCTTTTGACTACCTACATTCACACTGGGGTTTTACACTGTTCGTTAGGGATATAGACAAACTTTAGGGTTACCAGTGAACGTTTGAATGGTAACATTTTACTAAAATACTAAAAACGTTTGAATTTTTATTGTTGCTTGTGAAAAAGAGTGCCTTGGGTGTTTAAAGCATCTGTGGTTTCTGCCGTTTGCCATAAGCCTGGGGATATTGTTCAATGCAAAATGAGGTTCTTGCATCAAGTACCTATCGTGAATTCACTAAATGCAGGAATCCAGTGTATGTTCTTGTGTATATCATTTACTAGCATAACATGTTGTGTTCCTTTAAGTTTGCCTTTTGGCTTTGTGAGATTTTACCTTGTGTTTTGATATCAAACAAACAGGTATATTAGTAAGTTTTCTTTAAACTTAGGGTCTATGGGTTTTTTTATGAAGATTTTTGTTTTTATAAATATATATATATAGTCACCCTGAAAATGTGTTTTACTCAGTAGACAGCCCACTTATTGGACTATACTGATTAATTTCTATTTGGTGCATGGGACAAAAACGCATATTATGTAAATACGTCCATTTTTTTTTAATCAAATTAATTTCTCGACAGGGTCATTTTTAATAAATAATCCCTGAATAAGCTGGATTGAAAATCCTTTTTGAAATTTTGAACTAAGCTCAGATTGGCTATAGAAATAGAAGTAGTTTAGCGAGACCAGGTTTGATGGAGCAATGCAGGAACGCATTATGAGGACATTTACAAATTCCTGGATGAAAGTCTGAATACTTTACAGCAGTGGTCCCTAACCATTTTATCACGGTGTGCTGGTCAACACTTGACAATTTTACCGCACACCAGGTGGGGCGGTGGTTCGTAGGTTGCCAGGCAAATATCAACCGTTTTCTAAGAGCACTGCAGTGTTTGGGTGTTCTGTGCTTGTCTGAGATAATTAGTTGCCTGAAATGAGTATATTCCATACAAGCTAAAGCTGATCGGTCAGCTGATCACGTGACAAGATTTGCCGTGCGCTCCCAGAATTCATTCAACTGTGTGCATCTGGAGGGCGTAAGTGCAAGCCTCGCACCTCCATTGGAAAATAATGAACTTACACAAACTTATAATAATAATAATAATAATAATAATAATAATAATAATAATAATAATTACTTACATTTAGATGGCACATATCTGGACACTCAAAGTGCTTTACACATTGGGAGGAATCTCCTCATCCACCTGGATGACGCGACGGCAGCCATATCGTGCCATACTCCACACCACAGACCAGCTGATTGGTGGAGAGGAGACAGTGATGAAGCCAATTATGATATGGGCATTGTTAGGAGGCCAGATGGCAAATTTGGCCAGGATGCTGGGGTTAAACCCCTACACTTTTCAAAAGACATCCTAAGATTTTTAACAACTTTAGGATCTCAGTTTAACATCACTGCGCAATACAGAGTCTCTTTCAATATACAGGGGTGTTAGGACCCACACTGCCCGGTGGTTGTATGCCCCCTGCTGGCCTCACTAACATCACTTCCGGCAGCAACTTAGCTTTCCCATGTGGTCGCCAAGGTACTGATCATGCACAGCCCTGCTTAGCTTCAGGGGGCGACCATGTGAGAGTTGCACAGAGCTAGAACTCTAGAAAAGCGATATGTGAACGGCCCCTAAAAGGTTGCTGTCATTTGCAATCTGCAGCAGTTGATCTTGCACAGACATGGTGGATTCACCTGATTTGTTGACAAGTGGGTTGCAGATCCATTTCTTGGCAGTTCATGGGTCCTTCACTGGGCCTTTTCCCCTTAGCAAAGAAACTTTCCTAAGACGTCTGTTTCTTACTCATTTTGCTGCTTGGGGGAACATTTTGGCGCCTACGTGACCGAGATGAAAGCGAGAGAATACAGTCATTTTTCAAAATAAAAGATTTTTTCAAAATAAAAGATCGTTCAGACTCAGATATTAAATAAAACGCAAGTAATTAATGACTTCTTGTGCGGCCCGGTACCATTTGATCCACGGACCGATGGTTGAGGACCACTGCTTTACAGATCACTTGCTCGTGATATACTTTCACAACATATTCCTTTATCCAACACTCTTCAGTTTCTAAAGCTATGTACTGTATATACCCCCGTTTATTAGCGAAGCACTTAGCCATGTTCACATATTTTGTGCCCGTCGAGATGACATTCAGACTTTTTATTCTCTACATTATCCCATAGTGAATTTTATGAATAGCACTTGCCACTCAGCCTAAAGCTCTGTATCTGTCCTGCTAATCTACGGGCAGGTGGTTGAGTATAAAACAAAACCGCTCTCCAATGGCACAAAGTAAAAAAAACCTGCACTGTTCAATTGTTTTTCCTGTTTACTAGAGATTTTCCTCTCATACCAACAACATGATGAGGTGTCAGCATATTATGTGAAACAGAGATAGCCTAGAATTCTCGGTCAGCGAAAAAAAAGAAGCTTATAATAAATATAAAAAGCTTATAAATAAAAATGACTGTTCATTTAAAAGCTAGACTTTAAATCGAAACAGTGTATGTTTATCTCAGTGAATATACTCCAATCCCGCTGCTTACACAGCCATTTTTTATTGTACTTTTTCATTAATAATTAAATGTGTTGGGGTTTCTTTTTTCGTAATACTTTGGTGTTTTTAACAGGAAATTAATTTAAAGTGTTCCATTTTCGTTTCGTTTTCTGCCGCTCATGTTCATTTCGTGGTGGGTTACTTACAATGTACTATGTAAATACTAAACGTTATGTACATTTTTCCTTTTTTTTTCCTCCTTTGGCAGTTCTTCAGGATGCATTATAATGAGATTAGGAGTTCATTTGACATTTTCTAGGGCTTACGGTCTGTCAGAAGCTATTGTGACACACTTGAGTTTGCCATGTCAGTGTGTAGAGATGATCTGGATTTAACTGTTCATCAAGAGTAGTCGAGATAGTATTTATATAGAGACTAGAATTCCAGACTGTTCCTTGTTCACTTTAAAGTTACATAAAAAAACTGTAGTCGAGCTCAGCATGCTGCCACCATTTTTTGGTTTTCCCCTTAACTTGGCAGGATAATATAGTGTGAATCGTTTAATGTGTGAAAACTGAGTTTATAAGAAAAAGAGAAACAAAAAAAAGCTATGTGAGGAGTGTTAGGACGACGATAAAAGGCTATACAATGGTCTTTTAACGCAATCCTCTTTGAAATAACACGATGATGAGGAACAGGTGGTTTTATGATCTCTGGCCTTTGGATATGCAGTAAAAGTTTCATAGTTAGTGGGTTTCCCTCTTTATTTTCAACTGTCCTTGTCTCCCCCCTGCAAACCTGAAACATTCCAGTCATCTTTGAAAGAATGGATGTCATATGCAATGAATCGAGAGTCAATAAATACATTTAAAATGCATTTTGAAATACAACTGTGCGGTTCGTCTCGTTTGTTTCATTACTGTCTAGATTCATCATGGTAAACAACATCCACTGACCTGCTGCAGATTTACACAGAATCGGAGCGGTCTGCCATTTGTTCAGCTTCCTTCTTGCATGTGTCTTTATTAAATAGTTCAGCTAAGTAGATTTAGCTTTTAGCTGCTAGTATTAAATTGTGGTACTCTCAACTCATTCAAAATGTCTATCCAAGCTGAATTAATTCTGTGAATTTTTGCCCAGAATCAGTGCATAAAAAAATGACCCATTTCACAAACTGAACTGTTACTTGGACTTTTAATTAATGAATGTTATTTGTTTTTCTTTTCTTACTAACTATGGTTTTACAACATTTGGATATACACAAAACTAATTTGTTTCATTTATTTATTTTTACTTAATGGGTCATTTACCGTTACCGTACAAAATTCAATTGACAGTTTTGTATTAAGAATAGTGCTGTCAAGTGATTAAATGTGACTAATTGCATTCGAGATAAAGGTTTGTATTTACATACTATATACAGGTTTACTCACTTACCCCCAGGGCTGTTTATATTGACGTTGATATTTTAGCCACCCTTGTTGGTGTTTTGTAACTACAATTTACCTTTACCTATAGCGCATGTCTTTGGACCTGTGGGGGAAACCGGAGCACTCGGCCAACACGGGTAGAACATGCAAACTCCACACAGAAATGGCTACCGGCCCAGCCACAAGTTATTGTATACCAATGGTTTGTTCTGTAGACTATCGAAAAAAAATATATAGCTTAAAGGGGCTATTAATTTGGACCTTAAAATGTTTTGTTAAAAATTAAAAACTGCTTTCATTCTAGCTAAAATAAAACAAATAAGACTTTCTTCAATTGAAAAAATATTATCACAGATACTGTGAAAACTGCCTTGCTCTGTTAAACATCATTTGGGGAAATATTTAAAAAAGAAAGAAGATTCAAGGGGGGCTAATAATTCTGACTTCTACTGTATATGATATTTGTGTATATATATATATATATATATATAAAACAAATATTTTATACAAAATAGTCAAAACAAAAATATACACATTACGCACAAATATATTTTGTAAATATGACCTTTTATTTTGTATGTGATTAATCGTAATTAATTGTTTGACAGCACTAATTAAAATGATAAATCTAACAAAAAGGATTGCAACACATTTTATCAGGAAACATTTGTTACTTGTTTTGTTTAATTCTGCACTCTTTTTTAAGGATTTTATATAGAGATATTTTCAGATATGTTTAAATATTTTTTAACATTAATATTTTACTTGTTCAGATTTATTAATATTGTAGTTATATAATTGCACTTCAACTACAACATTTTAAATTTTTGTTTGTTTTAATTAAAGGTCTGGGAACATGAAAATAACGAGACTGAAACATTATGAAAACGTTCTGACTAACTGTTTGAAAAAATGTAAATAAACAGGAAAAACGACAATTTCTTCAAAATGTGCTACACAGGGAACGTTCTCAGAACATTCTGTGACATTCCTTATAAGTTGTGCAAATGTTAGCACGTAACATGAGTACAATAATGTTTTTGGAACATTCCTGTAATGCTGGAAAAACCCTTTTACATTCATATAACGTGGATGTAATGTTCTAATGACATTTTCAATAATGTTTTGAGAACATTAATATAACAAGACTGAAAAATGAAAACGTTTTAAATAGCATTTTATTACTAAAAACTGTTGTATGTTTAATATTTTTTAACTGTAAATAAACAAGAAAAATGTCAATTTCTCAAAATGTATTACACAAGAAACATTCTGTCACATTCCATAAAAGTTGTGCAAATGTTAACACATAACATTAGTAATAGAATGTTTTTGGAACATTCTTGTAATGATGGAAAAAACCCTGCTAGATTGCATTAATATAACGTGCATGGAAGAACCTAGGCTCATTCTATTATGTACCCCTGTATATATTTCTAGAGAGCAGCAAATACATCCCAGGAGCTATGTTTTTTTTGTTGCAGTTTTTATATTCGCGACTGTGAGGAGTAGGGTGAAGCTGCAGGCCCGGAGACCCAACTGCATGTTCAGACCTGCACGCTCACACCAGCACTTTTTAGACCTATCGTTTTCTCAGACAGCGCCACTGCAGGTTCACTTAACAATGGACGATCGCCTACACCTCACCCTACCCTAAATCCAACCGTCACAGTAGCATGGACATTACCTTAGTGGGCGATACAATGTCCACCTGGTTCAGTACAACATCATGGTTACAGACTGCAGCGAGGACATCTTGCAACTGCACGTTCAAGACCAGCACTTTCTAGACACATTTGGGCCTGCAGCTTCATAAGGTTGCTTGCTAGTGCCATTTGCGCCTGCTGTTATCTTGTAAATTCACCAGACTGACTTACTGACTGACCAAATGACCGACAGATACCACCATCCACCCCCTTCCCTAAACCCAACCAATAGTATTGTAAAAAGCACCGATTGACCAGCGCCCACCCACTTTCCTAAACCCAACTGACAGTGTTTTGAAAAGCCATACAGAAAAAGAAAAGCCCTCAGGGAAGCCTGATTTTTACTACGTTTTCAGATTTGACCACATTCCCACCCTATTCGTGTGGGTTTTCCCCGGGTACTCCGGTTTCCTCCAACAGTCTAAAGACATGTAACACAAGTTAAAGTCACCTAAGCACCTAATACATACATACTGGAGCGGTTGGTGGTCTATTTTTTGGAAGCTCTCGAGAAGGGCTTTTCTATCTCCGAGCTCTGGGTTCTCTCCCGGGACAGTATGCCAAACCTGTTAAAATAGTCAAGCATTATTTAAGTGTGAACTCTTGAATAATGTTTAAAATAATGGTTTGGGATCATTAATATAATGAGACTGAAACAATATGTTTCCCAGTATTGGGTTGCGGCTGTAAAGGCACCTGCGTATCACATATGCCGGAATAGTTGGTGGTTAATTCCACCGTGGTGCGTTCTAATAAATAGGACTAAGCTTAAGGTAAATGAATGAAACAATATGGTATGGTATTAAATAGCATTATTATTACCAAAATAAAACAAATATTTTGTATGTTTAATATTTTTAACTGTAAATAAACAGGAAAAGGGTCATTTACTGAAAAAAATATTGATGTTTTTAATATCGATAATTCTGAAAAAATTAACTAACATTTTGGTGAAGCTATGTGCTAAAGAGTTCTGTTTTCTTTATCCTCCACCACTGCCCGCGTATATGTGTGGATGTGTACACATGAGTATTAACACCAGGTGTGTTTGCTTTGGAGAACCAGACGAAAAGACGGAAGTTGCTAGCTTTATCTTTTGTCTCGGGCTTTTGTGTGGTCATTTGGCTGTCTGTTTTATAACTTTAACAGCCGCTTTTTTTTTTTTTTTCATTCATTTTTGCACTCTTTGCTTTTCCTTTGTGGACTGACACCGACGTGACAAAGTAATCTCTCTCTCTCCCTGTCTCTTTATCTATCGCTCTGCCCTTGCTTCAGCTCTTTATGTTTACTGACCTAGAGGTGATTAAAGTCCAGCCTTAGAAAAGGATCCAGCTTTTTAAACTGTTGACAGTTGAGATAAAAGCCCTTAAGACTTGGGGATGGGCGCTGTGGGTTGAGGCATGTTTGTGCGTCTGTGTTTTACGGGGCTTAAGAGTCCAGCCGGCTCTTGCTCCCCTCTTCCAAGTTCAATGTCAAAGGGTGAACAATGGCGGGTCACAGGGATCCTGGGCCCAAACAGAGCGCGCATAGCCTGCATACTTTTCCCAGAGCAGGTCCTGACCTCTGCCCTCTGCCTCTCTCCCTCCCTAAAGAATATATTTTCAGGCTCTCAGGGAAGATCTGTCAATTTCCCTCACAAAAGAATGGCTTTTTTGTGAATATACCTTTCTAATAAAGGAACCTGGAGAAGCAAAGTTTTCAAACAAGTAGACTTTAAGCAGGGCTGGTTGATGTTTTACGCACAGAATTCCGTACAAAATCTGTAGATTTAGGGGTGGCTCAGTGGTTAGCACTGTCACCTCACAGCAAGAAGGTTGCTGGTTCGAGTCTCGGCTAAGCAAATAGACGTTTCTATGTAGTTCTTCCAGTGTTGGCATGGGATTCCTCCGGATGCTCTGGTTTCCCATACAGTCTAAAGACATGCTCTATAGGTGAATTGTAGCCACAGTGTAACCACTGAGCCACCGACCCATTAATATAATATAAGATAAGACTGGACATTTTGAACAATGTTATTATAATCAAAACGTCACTGTTAATACATTGTGTAATAATACTGGACATTCTACAAGCATCCCAAAAAGAATGTTATATAACTTAATGGCGATGTTAAGGGAACGTTTTTAGAACGTAAAATTGTTAGCTGCATGGGTATACATTGCAACGTAGGCTCATTCTAAAAACGTAGCCATATATACATTTATTTGAGACTGATGTAGCCAGAGGAACTCGTCTTTAAAACGAACACTACATGGCAGTATGACGGCGTTCCTTTTCGCTTTTACTAGCTGACCGCTTACCTCTGTGTGGACGGCTTTTCCACTGTTACCAGTTTGACCAGTCGCTCATTGTGTATGTTGGAGGATTTAACACGCAGAGAGGAGTTGACCATGATGACAGGGTTTGAGTCTGGCAAAGAACGGTTTCAGAAAGCAGGGAAGACAAAAACAAGTAAAAACCACGGTGAAAATGCGGTAAAAGGGACGAGGCAGTGGCACAGTAGGTAGTGCTGTCACCTCACAGCAAGACGGTTGCTGGGTTGCTGGTTCGAACCTCGGCTCAGTTGGCGTTTCTGTGTGGAGTTTGCATTATCTCCCTGCCTTCGCATGGGTTTCCTCCGGGTGCTCCGGTTTCCCCCACAGTCCAAAGACATGCGGTACAGGTAAATTAGGTAGACTCAATTGGCCGTAGTGTGTGTTTGTGTGTGTGAGAATGTGTGTGTGGATGTTTCCCAGAGATGGGTTGCGGCTGGAA